TAATAAAAATTCAAATGATTGCATTGACTCTAATAATGTGAATGCCTCACATTTCTGTTCAAAACTTATACCATCTTCAACAACAACCTCCAGAATATCAATAACTGAGGAGAATATTGTAATCAATCTTACAATTGATATATAATGTGATCCCCATCATATATCACCTGACCGCCTCAAAGTTATTTTTTTATTCAACCCTTGTCTAGCTACAAATTCTCCATTTTTGTAATTCCACTAGTCATCTACCGTTGTTATTTTGAAGTTTGTCACGACGTTTGCATGAAACATCAATAATATTCATCATATTCGAAATTACTGTGAATAAGAGAGCATTTTGAATATGATTTTTTTCAACAAATATTAAGGTTAATCGAAACTAGTGTGAGAAACAATGAATGTAATGTGTTGTCTTATTCTCAGTGAGAAACAACGTCTTTAAATCATTAAACTCTCTGCTTATATTGCTTACTTCATCATACTCTCGACTATGCAATTTTGATACATGTAAAACATAAGTTGAAAGCAATTCTTAATTGATCTTTTTAGACTTTTAGTCGTCGTATCTAGAACATGAACAATGCCTAAAAAATATTCAACTACCTGGCATTTTTTGTTAACAAATCGCATCACAATAGTCATTTGCTCTTTTGAAGATATGTCGTATAATTGATCAACTAAAATAAAAAAATAATTGTCTCCAATTTCTTTTTTTATGAAATCTATGACGACAAACAATATAGCTCTTATGATATCCTTTTGAATATCTAGTGCAGCTAATTTCAAATTGTTTGAGTATTTTAAGCGTCACATTAGTTATCTCATTATTATGTTCAGTCAAAAACTGTAACAAACGAATATTTTTATTTTATTTTTTGATGTGAGTCAAAGCTAGTCATTGTCTTAAAAAAAACGTACACTATCAATATATGTATTTATACAAATATAATATGCAACTGTGTTATAATATGATTGCTTCTGAAACACAAAATTAATATGTTGACTTCGCTTTATTAAATTTTCACAGTTTCATCGTACATTATTGTGCGCATTATTATAACCTACAAAATGAAATTCAAATCTATTTGATTTTTTTTCAATTTAAAAATTTAATTCTTATTGACTGCATCTTCATCCTCATTTCCTCTACCTATTGCTTTGAATATATAACAATATAAACAATATGCCTTATCTTTGCATATATTGTACTATAACCAGTTAGAATATTTATCAAACCATGCAGCATTGAAGTGTTTATCCTTTACCCCAAATTTAATTTTGGGAAATTCATGATTACGATGTTGGAACAGACCTCTTTACAAGTACGACCGTCGAACTTGATCTTGAATATTATGTGTAAATTCAAAGAAACAAATTCGTAAACAATGATCTGATGGAAAGTTCTATAAATCTACTTCTAGATTTCTTGATGATTCAATTTTCACGCGACTTATTTTTTTATTTTGCTCCTCGTCCTCTTTGTTTGTCTCATCTGAAATCTTTGAAATCTTCTAAAAATATTTCTCCATAAAATTTGTGCCAAATTTAATTATTTAGAAAACAAAACAACAACCTAGCAATTATTTAATGGGAGGAAGAAGATATACCTAGAAAAAACATGAACCTGAAAATTTCAACAAGCAATTTCGGTTGTATAGCCCACAGAACTATTAAATGTAGGGGTGGATCATAATGAAAGCAAAGCAACAAGTATGACAAGCAATTTCGGTTGCACTAAAACAATAAGCATACATTTACAATAAAATTGTTAAAACCTTTTTTTTTCTCAATCAATATGATAAATTAAAAGATGATTGGGAAGGAGAGGGAGAAGACAGGGAAGAAGAAAATGATAATAAAAGGAATAATTAGAGGAAGAAGATATACGTGCAGTTTGTGTGCAAGAGGAGGCGAGATTCGGCTTCGACTTTGGCCTGGAAATGCACGTCGGGCTCGAGGCTGTCGTCGAATAGGGCGGTTGGGATAAAACTTCGAACAGGGCGGCTAGCTTCTTCGTCCCTTCGTACGTTGAACGGGGCGTTGAACGAATCAAGCGAGGTTAGGCTTCGTCCCTTCGTCCGCGAGTCGCGTGATTTAGGCGGTGAATATTAGGTTTTTTTCTCATCCCTTCGTCCTTGACTGATCCCAATGTTTTTCGTTTTTTTATGGTGTTTTGTTTGTAATTATTTTAGGAATCAACATGAGTTCAACTCCTATAAATAAGGGTTCCCTCCTTTTGTATTCCCTTTTTTTTTGTAGAATAAAGAAAGCAAGGCTTGGTTTGTTCTTCCCCATTCTTCTCCTCGGTGTCTTGTAACACATTCCAGATGATGCCCTCCCTCTACAACCGCAACTGCTGGCTGTCTACTCCCCTACACTACAACTGGAAGGTCATCCGGCCTTTCTCCTCTTCCCTACCTTCCCTTTTGCAAGTTGAGAGGATATTCGGCCTCTCACTCCTTGTTTTCTTTTTTCCTCTCATACTTCTGGTTTCCCCCCAACTCCATGCTAAGCTTAATTGATATTTATAGCTAAGCAAGAGGGAAAGTGTAGAATTTTGTAATTAATTAGTTACTATAAATTAGTTTTTTTTTGTTTTTCCTAGGATAAGGGATTTGAGTATCATGTTACATTTTTTTTTTACTTCATTTTGTATTTTAGTGGCGGCAATTAAGGAATAGTCACCTTAATTCAAGGAGTGAGATTATTCTCATATCTCCTATTTATGTTGTACAATTTCTTTTTCTTTTTTTTTAATGTTGTACAATTTCTATGAATTAAGGCAAATATGATTTTTTCCTCTCTCAAAATTCCTCAGCAACAATAATAGAAGAGCTTGAACATGGACCTTATTTGATACAATTTAACATGGCCAATCCTCTATTGAACAAGAACAAAACAGGTTTTATTATAAATATTAAAGGGTTATATTGTAACAACTTGATGGATATTACCATACATTTTAAAAATTTTACTGGAACAAGTAAGAAGAATCTAACTTAAATGTTGAGTCTGGCACTTGTATATATAGAGTGTCCTCAATTGTTATAAATAATAATAAAACGTTAAGTCAAAAAAAGAAGAAATTAGTGCTTTTCAGTGCAATCATGCCTTATTTTGTGTGATGATATATTGTATAATCTTAAGACAAAAAGAAATATTTATTTGTGGTTGGTTACTTGGGGCACATTATATCAAATTTTTACATTGATTTTCTAGAAACACAACTCCTAATTTCAAAATAGGCTTGAGCATTCGAGTGGGTTTATCTAGTGAATACTCAGTTAATTGGAGACATTGATAGCCATCGCTAAGTTCTAATGAGCAAGTAAAAGGTTTGAGTTATTAATGGGTGGTTTCAGCACCTATAATAATTTGCAAATAAGTAAAAATATTAAAAACTAGCTAAAGCTAATAAAAAGTTATTGAATTGACAAGAAATGGTTAAATCACTTTGAATCTACCCACAATGATAGAGCTTAGTCAACTTTTTAACCTAAAGTGTTACCTCAATTTCAAATCATAATCCTATGATGGTATTATTGATCCAAAACTAATGAAACACATAATACAATTGTATCATTATGATATCAAATTTACTCGAATATGATGACGTATGATCTTGTCGAACCAATAGGGTTTTTATTTAACACAGGCTTTCTTTAATAAGGGTTTTCTATGAGACTATGTACAATAACTTTCATAGATAAGATGTTCAAGAAAAAGATATTACCATGAAAATTGATTGTCAAATACTCTAATTAGGATTTTTTACATTCAATAATTCCATCACTTAGCTTGACCACCAATCTATTTGGTAAGAGTGTAACACAAATTCTTTAATGTTACCAACATAATGTTGAAAGTATGACTACTACCTAATCTACAACACCACCACTCTGTGATGGTTAGTAATCATGATTAACCATGGATAGGTTAATCAAACATTTCAAAAGGAGAATAGTTGCACTCAACAATTACCAAACTCAACCTCACTACTCACGACTCCATAATATTGTTTCATGGTGCACAGCGATTGTTAAGCAAAATGCCACATCAAAGCCAAGTTACATGGATCACTCAATTTTGTACTGTTGATCGAGCAAACTTTTAAAGCTTGTGATGGAAACCTTTTCAGATATGCCTCTCAAGGAAGAGTAAGCCAAATAAAAAGAAAGAAACTTGCACCCATGTAGGAGATACGCTTCTTTGAAATGTGTTAGTTTGAGGCTTAGCAATATTGGGGAACTAGATAAAGTTTAAAGATGAGGCATTGGGATCAGAGCAAATATTCGTAGCATCTTAGAATATCGTATGCCTGCATGGTTTCACAATTTTATTTTTTTATGAATGGTTTACCCTCTAAAAGCAGTACCTCAAAATGCCATGAAGGCTTACACAGTGGCTAGGTTCCTAGCTTTACCAAAAGAAATGAATCACACCACAGGGTGCATGACAAGTTATTAAGCCTAAGTAGCTCGAATCAAATTATATATCTCACTTCAAATTATCAACCATATGATATATCATATATCAAAATGCAATTTCAAAAAAAAACATTATGATACTCTCTCGCGCTTTTTCCCTTGAAAATGTTTGCAATACTGCACTGTCGATCTAAGCCATAAATTCAATGTGTTTATGTCAAGAAAAAATTTAGGTTAGGACATCCTTATTCTTTTCCATAAAGATCGTTTTGCAGCTTTTGGATTACCATCGAGGTGAGCAAAAAACCAAATCGTGATTAGTAAGACATATTTCATTTATCTCGAAATTAATCTAAAATGCTACAAAACTCTCATCCTGGATGAAAAGACGAGAGGAAACCCCTATTCTTTTTTTTTTTTTTTCCTTTTTTTACACTAGTGCTAATTGTAATTAAAAAATAACAATGATTTCAAATGATGAGATAGAACAGCATCTCAAATTAGTTGAACGGTGATCACATTAGTAAATTTGTGCCACTATAGAAAAAGAACTTCTAAAACTTGCAAGCTCACCTTCTTCGAAGTGGAAAACCTCACCATTACACGAACTACTCCAGCTGGCAAGTCACAGTCCAGTATTACAGGAAATTAAACCGAGGTGCAGACGAGCTAGAAGAAAAAGACGTGGTTTGGGGTTTTCCTTGGTAGCTGAGGAGACAGTTTCTTAGGGCTCCATCTGAGCGTCGAATAAGGATTACTCCAAACATTAGGGCGACCGAACTTTGAATTATCCAATCCAAGCGGCTAATTTCAAGTTGAATTCCTTAAAATTAGAGTGATGAAGGAATGTGAATTCAATTCTTACCTACATATATGGAGCCCTGGGAGCGAGGAGAATGAACAGACTCGTCTTTGTTGCTGGGAGGCATCCGCGTCGGCTGTAGTCAATGGCCGGCAGCGGGTGTTATTTATTAAGCTCCAACCTATGCAAACCTTTGGACCATAATTTTTCAATTTCTTTTTGGCATGTTCACATTTGGCTAGGTCATATTAATAACAATACAAAGACTTCAATCAAGTTCAAAAAAAGTCAATTGAGATTAGAGCTTTGATTGGAATAGTTTTCTTACTACTTCTAGTAATTATTTCATACAAAAAATTTTTAAAGACTGAAAAAATAATGATAAAAAATTATCTCAAACGAAGTCTAAAATTCAATTGCCTACAGCCCAAAGCATGCAAACCTAAAACAACTCAAAACTTCAATTCTCACAAAATTGAATCTTGAACAAATTGTCCTAGAATTAGCTCTGATTCAGCCTTCAGTACTAAGCTACTGAAGGCGCCTAAAGTACTTGCGACTTTGACCATAAGTCAAGGCAAGCAACTCATTAGGTACTCATTAATCAACTATGGGTTCTTGTTAGAAGATCATATCAAGGGTATTTGTCCTTAATATAAAGTCATATAAAGTTCTAATAATTACTATTAGACTACATGTCTAACTAGTATGATACATAGCTAGCTATAGTATATTTAGCTTGTATATAACTATATTATATATCAAATCATAAAATCTTACTTTGATCCTCACATATAAATATGAGGTCACTAGGCAAGCATGCACAATGTAAATATATGTCCAAAAAAAAAAAGCATCATAAAAAGTTATATGAAATTTCATTAAAATTCTTTATAAATTTTATTTCTTTCTAAATTATTTCTTTGTAAGCTTGGTTCTACTCATTTTATTTGCTTAAAGCGGTTTTGTTTGCTTCCTTATAATTAAGTTGATGGAATGATACCTATTATTTATCATTCCATCTTGATCTTTATTGAGTAAGATCTTTATATCTTTCCTTGAAATTTTTTGGATCAAACATCATCTTTTGTGTTGTGAATGTCGATCTTGTTGAAGATTAATAATTGCATAGATCATCCTAATGATCATGAAAGGTACTTACATAATGAACAATATAATAACTACATCGCCTCAACATAATCAAACCACATGTAAGATCATTTGAAAAGGATAATCCATACAAGCTACCAATATTCTTCCTTCTCCATTAAGAATAAGAATAAGTTGTTTGTCCTAGGGTTGACATCGCATGATTCCAGGAGTCATCACTCCAATTCTATTTCAAGGCAAGGATCCATATCTTCCTTGGGGAGTTCTACTTAGACTTTATCCCTTATTATCCTAAAAATATCAAGATCAACCAATAAATGCTTTTGTCATGTAGATCTCGAAGGTTTGGCAAAGGTAGAATTTAGGATGTAGAAACTTGATTCATACCAAGGGTTGTGGAACCGACCAAGCACATTATTTATTCAAGTTAATAGGCTCTCTTATAATTAGCCATGGAAATGTTGCAAAATATTCTATGTTCTTTACTACTTTTGAAGAGATATCATTACAATTGTTATCTTACTTTCCTCTAGTAAACATCACCTCTTTCACTAACTTCAAAGGATAGTTTATCACTCAATTCCCAAGCATCCAAAAATAACAGAATAACTCACATGAATTTTTAAACATAATACAAGAGCAAGTTTGACATTTCCCATTTTTTAACCCAATTTTAATAAAAGATGTGGGGTGTACAATTTTTTAAACCAAATATCACTCGAGCAACTCTTACTCAAGATCCTAAAAATTATCAATTTGTTAGGCTATAAATTTGCAATGGTTGAAGACTTCTTCTAATTTGTTAGAATTGCCCAACATTTATATCAATACAAGGAAATATGATAATGTGATTTCAACTTCCAAGTTTTTTCATTCCATACCCTTGGAGGATTTTCCTTGACATCCCCATGCTTAACTGAATATATAAGTTTCATCAACATCAAGAAAAAAAAATTAAGAAACTTTGTATCATAAAAAATATCACAGATGATTATCATCCAAGAATCAAGAAATATGCATATTGACATATGATCCCTCTAAAAGAGATACTTTGCCTCAATACTTTAGGTACCCAACCTACATCCCTCTTGAAGTGTTTATGGCTAAAATTATTGATGACAACCATGATAAAGAATTTGTACACATCTCGCAATTGATGCAAGTTAAACCATAAGATTATTACCTATTGAAATATGGTATATTTTCTAAATGCCAACCACAAAATGGAGGAGTATCATCGCCTTTGTGTCTTAAGAAAGAGCTAATTCATCTTGGCAAACTTAACAAATTTGTCCTTATTAACTTATGATGATGCCCAAATAAGACACTTGTAGAGGACAAAAAGAATGATCTTGTCTCAACTCAAGCAATGCATGTTATAGGGATAGCCCCAATGAATCTTGGTTGGGTTGGGGTTGAAGTGTTAATGAATGAAAATCTAAAAAAATATTGGTCAAGTGATGTTTATGATGCCTCATACTCGTCATCATCATATGAGGACATTAGGAGATTTGTGAATATTATATTCAAATGTATTTTTGATTGGATGAACCTTACTTCTAAATGACATGTCACTTATAAAAGAGCCCCTTTTTTGCTTATTGGTGCAGTGAGACTAAGACTTCATTTTTTTTAGCTTTTTTTCTGCGTTCTAAAACAGTTATATAATACAAAAATTTTTCTGTTAGAAATTTTTGTACTAAAAAGCTGTTTTAGACTGCAGCAAAAAAATTATCCCAAACGGAGCCTAAATATTAAATCTCATTTTCCAAGGGTTGGTGATTTCTTTTACAAAAACTTCAATAATTCATTTCATCACATTAACTGCCCCAATGACTTACATTTTATCTTTGGTCAACCTCTCATGAACACTTTCAAGAAAATTGTCTTGGTCGACCATGCTGCATTAAAGTTTTAAACGAGAAGCTTTAAATAAATATAGGTTTTTTATGAATATTTTTCATAAATGAATGAAAATTTGCCAAAAATTAGGTTTTATGGCAAATTATAATCCACTAGAAAAAACCATACAAGAACACTTGTCAACGATAAAAAAGCCACCGTAATATTTTTTTCAAGAATCTTCATCAAAAAGTCTATTAAAAGTAATGAAATCACTCCAATAAAAAAATATGCTATAGTTTTTTTGGTGTGAGATTTGCCAAAAGGTTATGACCGAATATTTCAATGAAATTTCCCCAAAATAAATTTGGCTAACAATCAATCAAAAGCTTGGAGTTTTTTCTTTTAAATAAACTAGCAACACCTTTCTTAGAATGTCGATCACCACATTATGTGATTTATAAATCACATGCATGAATTTTATAAAAAGAATTCCACCATCCAATAAGTTGTAATATAATAAAATAATTGGATATTAAACATAATATTCATTTAAACCAAACAATATAAAATTTACTTATTATTTCATCATTTATTTTTAATTCAACCCATCATCTTTGTCTTATTAACTCTTCTCTCCACTTTCTTCTTCATCATTTATATCTTCTTCCTAATCTCGTTCAGCTATTTAGTATTGTTAACCCATCTATTATAGCACAATGTCATTTATCTTTGCTTGCATTTTAATATTTATATATGTTGCATTTCGACATTCATATGTGCTTGCAAATTCTCACCCATCATAGTTGTCCATTTCTTTTTTCCTCCCCTTCTCTATAGTCCAAATGTTGATATAGCCCACCTAAAGACCCCTCTCTTATAAAACTTTGGCTTTGTATATCTCTAGGTTGCATATACTCATTGTATAAGAGATTAATATTCATGAGCTTCTCATAATATTAAACAACTAACATTCTTATTATGTAATTTTGTCATAATGGTTATTGCGCAACTAGTCATAAAATTATTATGTCTTGATATTAAGAGGCTATTCAACAATTTATTCAAATTACAAGCTAATTATATATAATATTATGTCTTGGAATATTTATATTTATTCTTCATTTCATTGTGCTTAACAAGTTAAAGCACCATAATGAATGTCAATTCATGATTCATATTCTTCATGTGGTGTATGAAATTAGTAATTGAACTAATTTTTTCCTTATGTTATAAAACTTCTTCATGTTCATATTTATGTTAATCATTCAACAGCTCTTATTAAATCAATTGTACGATCATTCTTTTTTCCTTCTATTATTAATGTTTTAAGATGATCACATAAAATTATATGATTAAAATGTTTCATAGAGAGAAACATCACATGAAGAAAAATCTTATTTTAAAAGTATTATTTTTAAGGGGATATTTATTTTATGGTATTAGGAGTGCAATGTTGTTGAAATGCATGCATTTTGTTTTTTATAATTTTAGATATGGAGTAAAATAAATGCAAAGTAAAATTTTAATGAGTTTAAAATACCACATATTGATAATTTTTAAAGAATTTTAAAATTCACTTGAATCGAGCGAATTCCAAATTCCCACTATTGGAACTGCTCGTGAACCCAAAAACCCTTATTAGCAGCCACCAAGAAACCCATGTCACTATTGTGACACCGTACATCAATGAGCCCAATGTAGCATTTTGAGAACTCATGTGGATTCTAAATCTATGATTCATGAGCTTGATATCGTACTAACAACCATGACTATGAATCCAATACCACCTTCACACCATCTCTACCTTCCACACCATCCTCATTATGTACGACCGTCATCAATGCATGTCAACTATTTGAATCATGTATAACCCCATCCATTCTATATATGATAACCATAACCATTGTGGCATAAATTGCAATCAAGAGTTAAATTTTTTTAACCAACATATGACACAAATTTTATGAATTTATTTAAACCAAATTACCTAAAAAAATAAAAATATAATGTATTTAATTTATGTTGCATTTTAAATATCCATATATCCCTAATATTTACGCTCAAACAACCCCTAAGTAACTTCTTACATACAACATATAATGCACATAACAATATTAATTGTGTAGAAATAATCAATCATATAGCATTTGAATATTCATATTTCAATCAACATTTCAATCTCTT